TTTTTTTTTTTTTTTTTTTTTTTTTTGCCTTGGATTAATCAAGTTTTGTGTGATTTTGATTTGCAGGAGAGGAGATGGCTGCTATATATTCAAACCTCAATTTTACTAAACCTATGGCCTCAAATGACCTCTACTGATGCAACCTAACCTAATCTCCAACCTGAAGTAAGTGCTTTGTCATTTTCTTTTGTTTTTCTTGAACTCTTGTTCAATAAATGTTTGCTGGATGAATCCATGAATGAATGAATGAGTGAATGAATGAATAAAACTAAGTACCAGAGATTCACATTTGCTGATTCAAAATGTGAAGCCCATCGTATGCCTGGACCTTCTGTCTCTTTGGAAAAAAGACTCAAATCCAGCTTTCTATGGGTGAGGGATTAAGTTAATTTCCTGCTTAACCTAATGAGAAAATGGGAGACACAAATTAAAACAATGTTTTACCCATAATTTTCTACAAAACTTGAAATATGGATAATATAAAATGGTTCTGACCATGTAGGTTATTAAAATACATTAGTTTGTGAGGAAATGAATTGTTATAGCATTTTCAGACTACAGTTTCAGCAATATTTACAAAAATTTGAAATACACCCTTTCAGTGGCCTTTCAGTTATGATCAGTGGCCCATTTCAAGTAAGCCAATGTTCCAAATTAAAATGTCTTTCTTATGAGAAAATACACACATTTACCCATAAATTCATGCTCAAAGATTTTAAGTTCTATTAATCAAATAAAAGTGGGAAACATTTTATGTATTTATTAGGAGGAAAAGTGTTTAATTACTTACAGCATATATGTACTTCAGAATTCTAGAGAGTAATTACTAAAGTGAAGTAGACCTCTGTGTGCTGTCATGGAAAGACTCCAAATCCATTTTATTAATTGACAAAGACAAGTCAGTTGAATATGTATTTCATTATCCATACATGTAAAACAGACAATATATTTTTATAGCATTTCTATGGAAAAGCCTAAAATCAGCTTTAAAATACACATCAGACTGTTACTTGCCATGACCTCTGAGGAGAGGGCTGAATTGTGGGTGGGATAATTTTGTAAAGAGGAAAATTGTGATTGATCTCTATTTTTAGAATGTTTTGTATATGTATATATGCACAATTACTTTTGTAAATAAAATATTTGAATAAGCCTAAGAACAGAAATAAGTGCTGGGCATTAATTAGGTAAAGCAACTGCTCACTTATGTAACAAACAAATCCTGAACTATGAGTGGCTTACTACAACTCATTTTTTGTTTTTGTTGTTCACACAACTTCTGATTTTTGTTTGCAAGGACCTTCTGCTCTCAGGCAACTCAGGGATCCTGGCTGCTTCTACCTTGTAGTTCTACCATCTCAACACAGGGTTTCCATGTTTTCTGCTGAATGGCAGAGGAAGCATGGAAATGGCATACAGCCTCCAGCCTAACTACAAGTGGACACCCCAGGAAAGAGAGAAAGTCAAGATGTAGATGAGCACTTATAGTCTCTTCCATAAATTGTCATATAGTAAGTGCTCAATAAAAAGCAACTATCATAATTTGTTATGACAACCACCCTCTTCATTTCTTGGAGGAGTTTTTGAGAAAATCATTTTTTCCTTGAAATTCACCAACTTTTTCAAGTGCCTACTATGTTACAGGTGCATTCAAATATAGGACCACATCCTATTTTCAAAGGTTCCTGTAAATCTTAGTAGGGAGTCCTACACTGCCCTTTTCAATAACCTCTATAATCTCAATAGCCTGATAATATTTTCCTTACTTTTGATGCATAGTCAAAAGGTTAACTTGTGAGTCTCTGCTACCCTTCCACATGATTCCCAAACATCTTTATAGATGCCATCAGGCATACTGCAAACCAAGGTATTCCTGTGGTGCAGACGTACATACAAGAGACAGTGGAAGGATGGTTAACTATTTATTTTTTCTTTGTAAATTAGAGTTAATATGTCCACCAAAGAACCATTGTTCATTTCCTAGGACTCCAGGGCTTTAGGGATTCAGCCCATATAGATGTTTGCTTATACTGTGATTTCTATTGCTTCCTCATCAATGACTTACAAAGGGGGCTTTGGTTTCTGACCATCTAGATAAGCTCATTCATCTGTTGATGTGACCAGTGGCCCTTTTCAAATAAGACATCTTATTAGAATCCTACTGCAAATACTCAGTTTCAAAAACCCTTTTGAAATTGAGAGTTAAATCCTAGGAACCAGTAGATTATGTGCAAACCAGACTCTACTCACTAGCCTATTTAAAAACAATTTGAGAATGTGTTTAAAATGCCAGGAGGGATACCCAGGTATCTAAATATACTCCAAGTGCACTTTTTATTGGGGCTCCAGAAAGAGGGATACAACAGCCAGCCAGGAGGCTTCTGCAGGCAGTAGAAATGCTCAATGTTGGGGGTAAGGCAGGTAATTTGGAGCTGTTTTTCTGGGAGCAGGGAACACAGTCTTCAGAGGAAGAAATGACAAGCTGGTCATCAAGCCAGGTTCCAGAGTTGGATAGGAAGACACATGGAGGAAGACCAGGGGAAGGGTGCTATAATACAGGAAAGTGTTGGGACTGGGCAAAAATGCCAATACCTCAGCAGAGTCAGCTCTCAAAGAGCCCTGGGGCTCAGGCAGGAGGACCCTAGGTAAATAAAGCTCACAGATAATCCCCAAATCATGTTTACTTCTCCTTGTCACTGTCCTTCCTTAGGCCTGCTTTTAGTACCTTAGCCACAGCACCCTTCTTTTTTTGCCTGAAAAACATGGAATACTAGGAAGAGAAATGAAGAAACAAAAGGTCTGCCTCAGGCTGGGAGGAGTGGGAACAGCCTGGGCCTAGGTGAATTCAGGACTGGGATCTAGTCCTAGTCCTGTCACTTATTAGACATTATGATCTTGGGCAAGTTACCAAGTGCTAGGAATCTTAGGTTCTTCATCTGTGAAGTGGGATTGGTAAGCCCTGACTTTAGGACTGCTGGTATGTATGTAATGTAAGTAAAGCATCTGGACAGTGCCTCACATTGATTGGATCTTTAATGACAAGCAGTAATTTCTAATATGATTTTGACCCCAGACTCACTTCTCTGATTGTGTGTGTGTGTGTTCCATGACATCTCAGAGAATATGCATCACTCTGGTACATAAGATACCAAGTGAGCCAAAAATTAAACTTTGTAAATAAAACTCAGTACATTTTTCTTGTTAGTAGCTATATTATTTAATTTGGATACAAGGAAGTCTTCCTCAGCTGGATGCAACTCAAAATTCCTAGAATTTGAGTCAAGGACTAACTCTTTTCCTCCCTCCAGCTGCTCTTCCATACAAACCACTCTTTTCATTCATTTCACCCCCACTAAAAATCTAGGCCTTGCTGAGAGCTGGCCAAATTGCACTCAAGATTGCCTAATTAAAATGTCCTTTCAGTGGAGAGGGCTCTGGCTCTCCCAGGCCAAGGAAAAAGTGCCAGCCTCTGAGTATCACTTCAAAGAAATATCTCCCTATTATCAGAAAATCCTTGCAGACAAAGTGTACAGAGCACTTAGTTTGTGCACTATGTTCAGTGGCATGGGGACAAGAACAGAGGATACTTTCCACATCTGCTCCAGGTGGGGATTTCTTTCTGGTTTTTTCACAATCACAAAGGAGCTTCTAAGAGCAGTTTTCCATTCTAGATTTTTCTCTAAACTGTAAGACACACCTATAAAAATAAATGAGCCATTGAGCCGGGGCTAACATTTATTAAGATTTAATTTTGCATACATCCTTTAATTAGCCAAACAAATCCAGGTATGTGTCTTTAATTTTACAAAACAGCAGACTAAATGGAATATAGGAATTCTAGGATAAGCATCTTGTACATTTTTCCTCTATTTCTTGATCTCATCTATTTTATTGCTAAGCACTTTGACATTTCTAATTCCTATTGCAATGCCATGTTATCCTGTTCCAGTTCACAAAATAAGATGGAAAGTTCCCCAGTTTGTTTTACAGAACAGAAAAATTCTTATTCTTAAACCTGTTAAGCAGCACTAAATATATGACCAATGTTATTTGTGAACTTAGACTCTGAAGCTAATAATTCTTTTAGGAAGAACATTTGAAACATACCAAAAAGAAAAATATATATATAAAATCTGCAATTCAGCCCTCCACTAGTTAGAACCTTGATTTCCCTCTACACGGAGTGCAGAATCTTCCTCAGACTTCACTCAGTACAGGAGAAGCTTCTGGATGTGACACTGGAACTTTTACTGGCCATAGTGGTAGTACCATCACGGGTGGCAGCTCTGGCCTTGGCTCTCTCTCTCTCATCTTTCAGAGCATCCTCATACCAGCGTGGGAAGGCAGTGGCATCATTCCCAGTGACCCTGGTGAAAAACTTCAGGACTTTCATCTTGGTGGTTTCAGCATGGGCTCTTGGACCCCACAGGAACTCATAGCGTGGAGGATCACTATTGGGCACCTGCTGGTACTGCAGGTACTTTTCCTGCACTAGATCTTTGGTGATGAGCTTCCTGGGCTCTCCATAGATGAAATCCTTCTTCCCAGCCTTCACCCCAATGATATTCAGCACTTTCCAGATTCTCTCCTCTGGGGCACGGTTTCCCTCCATGAAGATTATGCCCAAGATAAGTATCAGGAGGCCGGTTTTGGGCATGCCCTGGTCATCACTCAGCATCCCATCGTAGGTGAGGTCTAGTAATTTGACGAGCATGTAGACATGACTGGCGGGGTCTACTTCCTTCACTTCAATGCCAAAGACAATCTCCATGCACTCACAGGCTTTCTTGAAGATTACAAGGAAGTGATCCTTGTGTTCTTTGATGACACTCTTCAGCATTTCTGCCTTTGTGACGGGCTCCTTTGTTACATACTTGATACTCAGATAGTGCACCAATTCCGACATCTTATTTTGTAGCACTTCAGGATTTGGTGGAGCCTGTGAAGTGCTTGGGCCCTCTCCTTGGCTGCTGGAGCCCTCATTTGATTTGATCAATGGAGTGGCTTTGATGGCAGCAGAGGAGGAGCAGGCTCTCTGGGAACTCTGGGGAGCACCTGGTGTTCCAGCAACAGGCACAACCTTTGGGGTGCCCTGAATCAAAGAAGAAAGAGAGGAGGGGGCAGCTTCCTCCTCAGTTACAGGAACCTGTGGAGCCACGAGGCCCAGAGACTTTGTTTGGGCCTGAAGGCTTTGTTTAGGCTTGGGGCACTGATGCCTCTTACGGTGGCGGTGGCGAGGCATGATGAGTTATGTTGGGGGCAGCAGGCAGGAGTGTAGGTAGGAGGTGGGTGATGGGGACTAATAGCCTGAGGGAGAAAGGAAGAGTGTGAGAAACACAACCTTCTCAGCCCTGACAAAGGCTGTCTTAACAGGTCTTCCCTTAGATAGTGCTCTAGGGGTCTGCTGATTGGCTTGTCCCCTAAGAACCTTTACGAGGACCTGAGCAAGCTCTTCAAGGTGTAGCCAGCTGCCAGCTGGCAGAGCCTGTAGATTCCAGGTAAGACAGTAGGGTGTGTGTGGTTGGGCACTCTGGTGTCCCCTCTATTCTGGTGTGGGTGAAGCCTTTGGTAGATATTCAGAGTTCTGGCTCTGACTCTGGGTACTGCTTGGGCTTCTATTGCTCTTCTGACCTGAGGACACATGCCTCAGACCAAAGGCTCCCCCTACCCCCTGCCAGGGATTACTTGAGCCCCTATAAGGGGAGTTGAGTGGGCATTTCAGACTTCAGAGTGCAATCACAATCCTTCCTCCTCCTTAGTGCAGACAGGAGTAGGGGGCAAACTTTTAGATGTCCCCAGTGTTCTAGGGTAGATGGTACCCTCAATGTTCACTCAGGGTTCTCATATTTCTCCTGTCAAGCCTGGATCCCCACCCCCTGCTGGCCTGAGACAAAACTCTCAAAACAAGAGTTCACATTCCTGATATCTACAGGAGGAAGAGAGGGGGCACCACATTTGGCAACACCTGCCCAGGACCTCCCTGGTTTGACAATAAGGGCTGGATGAACTTGTGGGGATCCTTCTCTCTGGAAGAGGGGTATCATTTTGGTCCTTACCTTGATGCCTGGAAAGGCCTGGGATTCCTCCCTCTGTTGACTGTGGTCACCCTCCTTAAACCAAGGCTTCAATTCCCTGAGACAGCAAAGGAAGTGAGAGGGTGTCAGATTTAACCACTATGCCCTGGGTCGTATCATGGCTGACAGAAGGAGCTAGGCCCCATCTGCTCTTGAGTAGAAAGTCCACCCCATCCTCTAACTTCAAATTAATTCCTGGCAGAACTTCAGACATCCCTCTAGTGAACAGAGTCCAACCTCCTGATACCGCTAGGTGGGACTGAGGATGCACCACATCTGGACACCTTGCACAAGGGCAGAAGCAGGGCAGGGAAGGGGCCTTATCTCTCCAAGGGCTGGGGAGGGGGTAACCCTCAATTCTTATTCAAGGTCCGCACTTTAACTCCTGGAAGATCCTGGGGCTCTTCCCTGAGCTGGTATGAAGTTGCCTGGTCAAACCAAGATCTTCACTGCCCTGAGGCCAAGGACACAAAAATGAGAAGAGACTACATCCATCCACCCTTGCTTAAGATCTCCCAGGGTTGAGAGCAGGGGTTAAGTTCAGTATGTTCTGGGGTGGTAGGTACACTTAGTCATCCCTTAGGTATTCACCTCAATCCCCAGCAAGGACTGGGACTCCTCCTCTGGTGACTTGAATCTGGTTTTCTCAGACAAAGATCTTCACCACCATGAGACCTCCAATGCTAGCTGAAAATGAGGGAAGACTCAGACTGACCTGCCTGGGAACTACCAGAGCTGACAACAGGGGTGGGGCAGGTTTCTGTGAGGACTTCTTTGTTTTGAAGTGGGAGTTACCCTTAAGCATCCAGAAGGTATTCATATTTACTCTTGACAGGTCCTGCATTCTTTCCCTTCTACTGACCTGAGGATGCATTCTTCAGGCCAAGGCTCTGTCTCCCAGAGACACCAGACAATGAACTGAGGGGAGGGCAGGAGGCTGGAGGAGGATGCCTCTGCCTAACAGCCCTACTGGGGTCTCCCAGGGGCTGACAACAGGAAGAGGGCAAGGCTGGAGATCCCTCTGTATACAGTTGAAGGTCTTCAGTACTATCTTGGAGTCCTCACTTTGACTCCTGGAAGGGCTGGGACTATTCCCTCTATTGACCACAGATTACAACCCTCAGTCCAAAGCAGTTATCTCACTAAGACCACCAAGAAGGAAGTAAGGCTAGGCCTGAGCCTGAAAGGCCTGCCTGGGGTCTATCGGGACTGACAGCAGGGGCAGTATGGGTATCTGCACAAGTCTGTGTTCTGCCTTGATGGTTATCCTCAGTCTTCCTCAAGGTAGTTACTCCTGGCAGGGCCTTAAACGCCTCCTTTTTGCTGACCTGAGGCTGCTTCACTCAGACAACGGCACCCAAATCCCACAGATGCTAAAGTAGTAAGGAGGGTGGAGGGATATCTGTGCCCAACAGCCCTATCTGGGACCTCTCAGAGCTGTGAGAAAGGGCAGGTTTCTGTGGGGCCCTCTCTATCCTCTCAGCCCTACCTAAAGGGCCCAAGACTTCTTCCTTTGATCCCAAGAGACTGAGCCATTTAGACCAAGACCCACTACTCCCTGAGATCACTGATTTGTCAATGGGGGGAGAAAAGGAGAAGTTCAGCCTAACAGCATTTCCCGGGGTCCGCAAGGCTGACGGTGGGATCAGGGTGAATTTCTGTGGGGATTCTTCCAGGTTCTGTGGTATACTCAAAGTCCTTCCCAAGGAATTTATATTTACTCCTGTCAAGGACAGCACCCTATCCCTTCTGCAGACCTGAGAATGCGGCCATCAGGCCAAGGCTCCTATTGCCCGTATACCACCTACAAGTAAGTATGGAGTATCGCGGGAGGCAATCTGCCTAAATGTCCTGGTCCCCTAAAGGCTGACAGCAGGAATGCGTGTCTGTGGGCTCTTTTCTGTATGATAGGAGGTCTCCTCATCCTTCCAATAAGGGTCCTGTCAACGCCTCGCAGAACCTGGGACACTTCTCTCATCCCTCTGTAAAAAGTCTCCCTTTCCTCAGGCTCCCAAGATGGCGGTCCAGATACAAAATGTTCGAGGCCCTGCCTAGGAACTTCCAGGGCAGACAACAAAGACAATATCAGGGAAAGGGCACCTTCTCTTTGTGGTGAGAGCTCCCTTCAGTTTTTTCTCAGCGTCCTCACCTTAAGGCCTGGCCACACACTCCTCCGTCCGCTGATCTGAGTCCAGCAGGAAGCTTCTTCTCCCTCAGATTCCCAAGGCGGAAGTCCGTCACGTCACTTCCGGAACTCTGCCGGGTGCCGGGGCAGAGTCTGACTGACTGAGCACCCCTTCTAACTATGGTGGTTGTTCCCTCACTCCTCCCTCTGGAGCCGCCGTTTGAAACCTGACAGGGCCTGAGACTCTTCCTTCTGCTGAACTAAGTCCAGCCCCCTCAGAGGAAATCTTGCCTCTTTCAGATTCCCAGGGTAAAAGTCGGAATACAAAACATGCAGGTACTCTGCCTTGCATTTTCCAGGGCTCATAGTCGGAGCTGAGGGGGTGGGTCCCATTCTACTTGGAATGGGAAAACCCTTAAGTACTTGCCTTGATTTCTACTGCCTGAGTCTCCTCCCTTCGCCAACCTAAGGCCTCACCCCTCACATCAGGACCCTTACCTCACCAAGACAGGAGTGACGCGGGACCTCAACCTGACAGGCCTGCATGGAGTATACCAGACTAACAGCAAGGACAAGGTAGGTTTCTGTGTGGCTCCCTATGTAGTTCTAGGTTGGGGGTTTCCCTCAGTCCTCCACAAGGTATTCATATTTTCTCCTGTACCCTCTGCATTCATAAGGCCCCTTTCTCCCTGAGATGCACATCACAGAAATACACAGGGTGGTGGTGCCTCCCTGGGACCTCCCAGGGCTGAAAGCAGGGCTGCATTTCTGTGGGGCTCCTCTGTCTGGGGTGGGTGGCAAAATCAACCCTCTTTAAAGGTTCTTACTTTGATGTCTGGCAGGGCCTAGGATTACTCCCTCTGCTCACCTGAATCTTTCCCCATCATATCAAAGCCATCACCTCCCTGAAAATGTAGCCCATCTCCTGATAGAAGTCAGGATTGGCACATTTCGCCATCATGTCCCAAGGTCTCCCAAGGCTAACAGCTGCGGTAGGATGGGCCTGAAGACCAGTCTCTTCTGTGGTGGGAGTTCTTAGTCCTCCATCAGGATCATCATCTTGCCTTGACTCCTGGGACTTAGTTGTCCTTCTCCCTCTGCAGACCTCAGTCCATCCACCTCAAACCAGGAGTGGAAGACAGCAGCCCAAGCTTGTCATCTTGGCATATGCAGGTAAGGCAATAAATCTGAAAGTTATTTGAAGACAAGTGACATATTTCCAATATTCTCAGTCTATCATGAAAATTTTAGAGGTGCCTCCATGAAGATATTGAACATTTTTGTGAAACTTCTTAGGTAATTTTTGCATTTTCATGCTGTTGTCAATGGGGTATTTTAAAAAATTCATAGTGCATTTATTACCCTACACTTTGTTCATTTTCCCAAAAATAAATCAATAAAAGGTTGTAGTGTCAACTTTAAAGGGCAGTGTCTTTAAAATTTTTATTTTTATTTTTCCAGCTTTTTAAAACTATACTTGACAAAAATTGAGTTTAAAGTATACAATGTGATTTTAAATATGTTTATACATTGTGTAATGATTATGACCAGCTAATTAGCATGCCCATCAACTCACATGTTTACAATTTTTTGTATGTGGTGAGAACACATAAGGTGAACTCTCTCAGCAAATTTCACATACTATACAGTAAACTCTCAATTTTGCAGACCTTGATTTAATGGACTTTAGATTTAATGGACAAAACTTCTGGTCTATATGTCATATGCGATAATTGACACTGTTAATTTAAAAATGCTTTTAACCAAGATTTGTTTAAAGTTAAATTAACAGGTTATTTTTTGTTATTAATTCACTGTTATTTTTAACCAATTTTTAGTGAATAGGCCATATGGTGGAAAAAACAATCAGTAATTTCACAAACATGAATAAATATTACATATCTACAACTATACATATTTAAATCCAATAGTCACCACTGGTAAACAATGTTCTGTGAATGATTAGCACGTGGTCACACTGCATCACTCCGTAATTGGTTCTGTTGTAAGGTGGTGTGACTTTCTGGAGCAGTTTTAATGCAT